AGCGGGGGAGTGGAATGTAGGTTCAATCAAAGGGAGGAAGACAAAGCATACGGATAGGTGAAATGGCGGTGCCAGTAGCACCCTTCACCTCTCCTCCCTCAGACGCCCAATTACTGCTCTGAAATTTCCACAGACCCCGTCCCCCTCGCAAGCTAATACCGCCTCACCAAACACTTTCAATTCCCTTCCAGTTCTCCTGAGTATCACAGATTTTCCCAAAAGATTGACGTCAAATAGGGACCCCAAAAGAATTTTTCTAGCGGTTAAGAAAAACCTCTCGAAATAACAACTTTTCCGCGCTCCGATGGGATTTTCGATCATGCTGTACCCTGTGAAGAGAGGTAATGAGTGGCTTAGTGGGGTGGAAATTTTTATCACACAAGGAGCAGTCAAACCCGAGAAGACACAGATAATGAAGGAGAAGAAGTAGCATTTGGTACAGTTCAACCTGCTAGGGGCATTTTGCTGGTTCCCATCGATCTGCCGATGTCTGCAGCGGAGACCTGTAAAGTACTGGAATAGGATGAGCACGAATCTCGTTCACACTTTACGAAAGTCTCTGAAGTCTCACCAAGATAAGACGTTTGAATCGACACGAACTTACGAAAGATGCTAGTGAGAGCGCTAAATGGCCTCCCAGCTGAACAGCACGCTAGTATCCTGTAGAACCAATACTTCATGCTTCACATTCCTTTGTTTCCTCTTTTTGCAGGGAGTTCCATTAGGCTAAGATGCCTAGTGTCATACGAATTCGTGCCAATTTAGGGGGAGACGATATCAATCAAATAATGCAATGTGATGAAGGGGAATTCTTGGAGATCATGTCACTCGTCGGTATGCTGTCGAAGCCACTACATGTCCGACGCTTACAACGAGCTTTAACAGTTAGTTAATCCACCTATTTAGTCGCACTCCTCTTTAGTGAGAATTTTTGATCTGTTCACTTCCTGCGCTGTGATATATTTACGCTATCAATCTGTAGCATCCAAATGGGCGCATTTGCAGGAATTCTCAAAAGATCAAACCACCTTCAACTTGGCCGCCATTCAACATATTGGCCCACCGCCAGTATCACCGTACGCATTGGGTGGTCCTGATATGTCATTCCTCATGCCTGGTAAGGTGTTGCTGTGTTTTGATCCTGACCCTTTTCCAACTAGGACATGTGGGAATTTAAGCCATGAGCTCTAGTATGGAAAACCTGAATTAAAAAATCTTCAGTTCGTTTTTAACCAGTAAAAGGG